TTTTCCTTTCCTGCTTGCACCCATGTTATCCCAAGACTTCTATGGCTGTGTTTGTTCTGGATTTGCTCAAGGACAAAACAACCTCCTGGTGGTTGGGATGTTGCATGGGTGCACAATGGTCCATTTGCTCATGCAGTTATTCTGCTTCCTACAAGATCTGTATGTGTTGACAAAGGCAAGTCCAGAACAAGTTGTCCAGAGATGTAACAGATGCTCCATTCTCGAAGACAATCAAGGTCAGGATGGACGGGGCTCTCAGTATGTGATCTAGCTGTAGGTCTCTCAGTTCATTTCAGGAATGTGGGACTAGAAGGCCTTAAAAAGTCCCTCCCAACACAAAAAATTCTATGATTCTATGACTCCAGTGGATATTTCCAGACACATCGGAGCCATGCATTGCTGTGGACAGCCTATCCTGCCCTTCCATGGTAAGGGGGACCATTTCTCATGGGGAACTCTTGTCCTCAGGCTTCACTCCCATTTGGGGGTCATTATCTTAGGTTGCCAGTGAGACTGGCAGGCAGTGGTCTTCTCCAACCTTAATGATTCTAAAATGGTTCTAAAATGGTTCTATGACTTCCTCAAAAGGATCATGAAATATTTCATGAACATAGTAAAACCCATTTCATTAAATAAAAGCCCAATAAATAGACAGTTGTCTTCTCCAATTCACTGTGTTGAGCTTTCTAGCTGTTCCTGTTACAAAATCTGCAATCCAGATGTTTAACTGCACAATAAGCTCAGGGGTAACATGATGGTGTGCTGGTGACATTGTGATTATTCTCAAAGGGAGGTTCAAGGCTTGAGAGCTCAGCTTGGGTACAAGTCCCCCTTCTAGGTGAAGCAACTCTGCTTGCCCAGGATTGCCTGGCCACCACCTAGAGATGGTATGGCCAAAAATATGTAAAGCTCACAGCAGAGCAGTAAAAAGGAGGGTAGGTGACATGACTCCACTGTAATAAGCATTAGCAAGACTCAGACTCTTCTCCTGGGAGTGAGAGATTAGCACCTCATTGAGCACAATCTCTTGAAAGTTGGGAGAGGAAGCAGGCAGAGAACGTTGCGTGGGCAAGCCAGGGGTCCAACGTTTAATATTACTGCTGCTTAGGGGCAGAAATAGCTGCTATTAGGTTGCATTCAGTAATTCGGAGCCAGAAGTTTGAGGTCATGGCAATAGAGCATGACCTGGTGTTTTGTGTCCACTATGATTCCAAGAGCTGGCCCAGGAATCACATCCATCTCGTCCTGCTCCCAGTTAGTCTGGACACTACGTGCCTCTTTCAGGGGGGATTTTACTCTCTGATCTCTGAAATTGGGGTGGAGGCTTAATTTCACATGGCATGAAGATTTACATAGGATATGGGAAGAAACAAAGGTCCAAGCCATGAAGCATGGGCTGCTGTGGTAGGATCAGTTCAATATGAGGTAGACAACTGGTGTGGGCTGAGCTGGTCTGCCCTAGATCCCAGAATGGGGAGATACTGGCTGCTTTAGGGTGTGACATTCTAAACCGTTCCGAAAACTTTAGGATGAAATGCTTCATGCAAAGTCTATGCTTCTCCCATGAGATGAATGATATATAGGTTAGGCATGCTCTTAGCTCACTGCTCTCCTGCCTCACTTTCTCCATCTCTAAATGAAAAGAGAAAAGAACTGTCCAGTCTCACATCCTGGTACATCCTATTAAAATGCCAGAGATTTGAGAGCGATGATACCGATGTTGGTAAATACCAGTGCTGTGTTGACCTTTCAGATCACCCCGTCCTACAGCGAAAGAGATTTCCCATCTGTGGAGAAGGGGAAGGTAACCCTGTGAAGGGGTAGGTTTAAAGGCCAGGGCTATGGGCTGGATCCAGAGCAATATCTTTTTTACTCAACCACCTGCTCTTGCTACAAGAGCTTAAAAAATCTCAGGAATTTATCTCTGCCTTCCTGGTTTTCACCCAGCCTCAGACACGGATCAGAGCAGAAGAGGATGTAGGAACATAGCTGTGGGAATGGACCCTGCCCCACAAGCTTCATGTCCCACTTTGAGCAGTAAAGAACACAGTGGCATCCATGGGACATCCACATCGCAGTAGTTACAGGGTAACTTACCCTGGGGTTGATTTGTTTCTGGTTTCAAAGTTGACTCAGAACAAATTGGGAAAATAATCAGTATGTGAGCAAAAGGAGGGAAGTGGTGAAGAAGAGACTCCTGAAGTTGAATTCAGTCATACCATTGGTCTGAGGAGACGAGGTTGACATCCTCCCCTCAGTATGGCAGAGCTGAGTTAACCATACTGCTGTTTATGCTTTAGGATGTGTGTAACATCTGGTCAGAACTTTCTTGCTCTAATAAACCAAGAGACAATTGGCTTGAACTGATAATTTATCCAAGAAGGGGAAGGCTTGGGTACTTACTGATCATTTTTGCATGGAAAACTTTGAAACTGTCAAAATATACCGAGTTCATAAAAACTGTCCCTTCAGACTTTCGTCTTCATTTCAGTGAAGGTCAAGTAGCTGCTGTTGAAATATCTATAAAGATATTGTCTTCAATAATATGCTGTAACATTTTTTTGGCCCTGAAGAAGTCAGATTGGGCTAGATGATCCTTGAAGGTTGCATCCAACTGAAATCCTCCCTTCCCTTCCCTTCCCTTCCCTTCCCTTCCCTTCCCTTCCCTTCCCTTCCCTTCCCTTCCCTTCCCTTCCCTTTCCATTTTGCCTTCCCTTTCCATTTTGCCTTCCCTTCCCTTTCCATTTTGCCTTCCCTTCCCTTTCCATTTTGCCTTCCCTTCCCTTTCCATTTTCCCTTCCCTTCCCTTTCCATTTTGCCTTGCCTTGCCTTGCCTTCCTGATCTTGTAAAGGTCTCCTGGGTCCAACTGGTCCAACTTCTTGTCCAGCAGGGCCATTTGAGCTGGTGCTCAGGACCACATCCAGATGTGTTTGTGTTTGAGGATCTCCAAGGAGGAGACTCTGTAGTCTCTCTGGGCAACCTGTGCCAGTAATCAAACACCTTCACAGTAAAGAATTGTTTCACATCTCCAGTACTCTGGAGATAATTAAAGACCCACCTGAACACTTTCCTTTGTGACCTACTGTAGAGAACCTGCTTTAGCAGTAGGGTTTGATATGATGATTTCCAGAGCTGCCTTTCAACTCTTACGATTTTGTGATTCTGTGGTTCTGATTATTTTGCTCACCTTGCAAGGAGTAAGGAGTGGTAAAGGTGGTCTGGAAATGTTGTCCATGCAGATATGTGGCCTTAGTGGCAAGAAGACCAGGTTATTTGTCTGCTGGGCATCTTGCAGTGAATGTGTGACATCCCTGGAAGGGTGGTTGCTCAATTCTTGGCTCTCTAAACCACAGCTTCTGCAGGGATGGGGAAATCCTGTATCCTCATTGCCTCCTGCAGCTGGCCCCACTGGCTTGCATCCCAGTTCTGCCACAGGATCTGTCCCACTTCCCATAGTGATGAGTTCCATGGCTGAACAGACCCAGTCACCCCAACCCCCCTGGACACTCTTGGTTCTGCCTTCCCTTCCAATACCCTCCAGGCCCTGTTCTTATCCTGGGGCACAGCAGAAGCAAACGTCAGTGTTAAACCAACCACTTGAATTTCCCCCCTTCCCTCAAAGTAATTTTTTCTCACTTCCGCACAGCGTGTGGAGTGAATTTTAGCACCCGTAAACACTTTGCGCTGCTGGCTGCTGGCTAATTGACTCTGACAGTTAGTGTAGTCAGCAGCTGAATGGTGTCACTGGGAATTAGACTGCCGTGATAGACTGCCAGGAGCAAATTACTTTGTCACTTCTCAGCTGACTCTAAAATATAGAGCTTTTTTTTTAATTCTTCTTTTTAACTTTTGATATTTTTTTTTTCCTCCCCAGTTTTTGTTTTGTTTTTGAGATGCTCTTTGTACAAGTGTGTGTGTGTGTGTGCGAGTGTTTGAAACCCAGATAAACTGAGCCTCATTTGTTTAAGGCTCATTTTCTGTTGAAGACAACCTGGCGAGTCGGGAACAATCTCCTCTTCCCCCATCACCCCACCTCCCAAGCCCTCCCATAATGTTTATGAAGCAGTTTCTGGAAATGCTCTTTTAAAGGGGACCCAGGGGGACGGCAGGCGAGTGACACTGGGAATGAGATTACACACATCTTCAGTGCATGTATCCCTCTGCCTGTCTGCAGTGTCCTCCCACCCTGGTATTTACCATCCATTTAGCAGTGCCATACATCTATCACTCATCCATCCACCTACACTGGGCATCTTCAATTTGCTTGTTCATCTCCCTGGATAGTTTTTCAGGATTGCATCCATTCTCTCGCTATCCATCATGTGGCTACGAGGTCTCTCTTCTCCTTGTTTTGAGCCATCCCTTTGCTTGCCTCCCTTATCTAACACCCTTATCCCATTTCAAATGTCTCTTACAATGATGGACCTCTTCAAGACAACAGGCATTACTGGGTTGGTCAGTGTCAAGCTGTCCATCCTCAAAGTCCTTTTGGTCCCACTGACTACTTGTTTGAAAAGTTGCTACCTGGGTGTTCAGTACATGCTGGTGTCAAAACAAATTATCCCCTCAGAAAAACAAGATAGCATGGGATTTTAAGCAGGCAAAGGCAAACATTTGATGGGGTGATGGAGACAAGGCCTGATTCAGTCTAGCATGGATAGCAGGTTGGATGGGGCTTTGACAACCTGATCTTATGGGTGGAAAACCCGCATGTAGCAGGAGGTTGGACTAGACAATCATTAAGGTCCCTTCCAATCCAAACCATTCTGTGGTTCTATGGTCCTATGGATACAAACCCACTGAGGCTGTCTTTATCTGGGAGGATCTCCCAAATATCTGTTATAACCATGTTCATTAGGATTAATGGTTAATTCTCTTACAACATCCCTCTGCCTCCATGCAACATCTTGAAATGTCACCCAGATGAGCATGGTCAGTGGTTTGGGCCAGAAAGTGAAGAAGAGCCAGTAACCACTTTCATCCATTTATCTGGGGATGATTCACCTCCTTTGATCTAAGAGCTTTATGGATCTCATAGGGTTGATTCCAAAATTGCATATGAAAGAGCCATTGCATAGCTGGGCTATGTCTACCCTGACATTGGGCAGAGATGGGCCAGTAGGTAATCCCCATAAAAATACCAACTTTGGCTCTGCTTCCAACCAATAAACCAGAGTGTGTTTAATCCTCAAAGTGCCTGGGACTCTCTCTTGCCAGCCTTTGGCTCTGACACAAGATGCGCATCAACCCTAAGTAGATCTTTGTTGGCCATGCAAATAAAGAGGTGATGTAGGAAGGGGGAAGAAGAAATGGTAGGGAATATAGGTGTGGGTCTCGGGGTTCTTTAGGGGAGCCATCAGGGGTAAATGGAACTCCTGGAGTTCCCTCTGCCTGTCTTCATTTGGGCCTCTTTTAATGGATAGCACAAACTCTTGGCTGTGAACTATGATGATACTCTGGGAGTCACTATTTTTGAGAGGAGAACAACACCGAAGAGGAGACCATCATTTCTGCTCATCACCAATGGTCTGTGGACTCCCGACAGGCTGCACTGTTAGCTGAGGATCTCTGGTCTGGTCCATGAGCTGGATCTTTTTGTTGGAAAATGCAACGGAACAGGCTTTGCACAGATGATGAAGAATGGCAATGTGATGAGCAGTAGTGATGCTGAAGCATTATCCTTGTTGCCTTCAGAGCTCCTGCCAGTCACCAGAGGATGGTTTGACAGGTGGATACAGGAGGAGTTTTACTGTTCTGATGAGGAGAAGATACCCTCTACAAAGCAGCATCCAGATGATTCTGTGGGCGTTCACCTGGTGCTTGATGGGGCATGAACAAAAACAGAGAAATGATTAGTTTGGATGACATTGCTCTAATGCCTCTGGCCAAGGGTGAAGGGATGCAAAAATAGCAGAGGGTATTTCATGGGTCTTCTGAGGTCCTAGGCATGCTGAGGTCCTAGCTGTCAAGGTGGACAACAGGGTGACAAAAAGCCAGCCATGTGCCCTCATGGCCAAGTAGGCCAAGGGTATCTTGGTATGCATTAAAAAAGGGTGGCTGGCAGGGCAAAGAACATTATCCTCTCCCTCTACTCTGCCCTGGTGAGGTCATGTGGAAAAATATAATCATGGAATCATTAAGGTTGAAAAAGGCCCCTAAGGTCATCAAGTCCAACCCCAACCCATTACCACCATGTCCACTAACTATGTCCCTCAGTGCCACATCTCCACATTTCCTGAACATACCCAGGGAAAGTGGCATTACCACTTTCCTGGGCAGTCTGTTCCAATGCTTGACCGCATTTGGAAAACTGTCCAGTTCTGGGCTCCCCAGTTGTAGAAAGACAGGGAACTGCTGGAAAGGACCCAGTGGAGAGCTACAAAGATTATGAGGGTCCTGGAGCATCTCCCTTATGAGGAAAGGCTGAGAGACCTGAGTATGTGCACCCTGGAGAAGACTGAAGGGAGATCTTATCCATGCTTATCAGTATCTTCAGGGGGCATGTCACATGGATGGGGCCACCTGGACACTTTCCTGTGCAGTCTACTGATGCACAGGATGGATACTCCATCCTTGGAGATGTTCAAGGCCAAACTGGACAGAGCTTTGAACAACCTTATCAATCTATGTATCTATCTATCAATCTAGATATCCCTGTTAATTGCGGGGGAGTTGGACTCGATGACGTTCTTACTCAAACAACTCTATTATTCTACTTTTGGGACCCTCCTTTTGCAGAGGGGTTGGACTAGATGATCTCCAGAAGTCCCTTCCAACCCCTATGATTCTTAGATTGCGTGATCCTTGGTGTGCCCTAGCTGCTTCTGGAGAGCAGCAGAGTTCATATTTCAAAGACAGCATCTTATCCCATTTCCCTGCAGAAACTCAGGGCTGTGGGCACTTGTATATGCTGTGGACACCAATGTGGGTTCTCAGAGCTCAACAGTCATTCTTCAGGGTGCCCCACAGCAGCGATGGTGACCTTCAGAAGGAAAGGACAATATCTCTGGGCTGTCCAGAGGAGAGCTGTGTCTACTGGGGAGGAGTCAAAGGAAAACTCAACAGAGCAGGGGAGAGAAAAAGAGAAGATCAGAATATCTCAGTGTCTGGACTCGCACCTCACGGTGAAAATCTGTCCATCCACACAACTTGCACACCTACCCAACCTCAGTGTGAGGGTCCTGCAAAAGCACAGGGTCCCTGTAGCATAGTCACAGCCTGCAGACATCCTCAGATGTGGTCCTCGGCAGAATGAATGCATGGAAGAGCAGGGATTATTGCTGTCCATGGTAGGTTCAAAGGATATATATATATATATATATATTTTTTTTTTTCAAAAATAAGAGAATTATAGTATCATAGAATGGCTTGGATTGGAAGGGATATTAAAGATCATTTAGTTTCAACCCCTCTTCTGTAGACAGGGGTTAGATCTGTTAGATCAGGCTAACCAGAGCCTCGTCTAACCTGGGCCTGAGCACCTCCAGGAATGGGGAATCCATAGCTTCTTTGGGAAGCTTGTGTCAGTTCCTGGATATCCAAACTAAATTTCCCCTCTTTTAGTTTAAAGCCATTGCCCCTTGTCCTGTCACAATTAGATTGTATAAATCTGGTTCCATCAGAGAATGGAAACAATCTCACATGCACTAGAAAGCCAAATAAACTGGAGATGGAGTGGGGACTTTGTTGAACAGAATGGCACCAGATACAGAATTCTGCCCAGAAAAGAGCATTTAGAGTAGAAAAGAAGAACAAACTCATCCCCCAGCAGGGATGCAAAGCACCCCACCAGCCTGGGCTGCTTGGCATTGCCCACTCTCAGGGCTCAACTGACTGTGGCCCCTGGGTGATGAGTTTCTCACCTCACAATTTTGGGAGCACATGTCTCTCTGGCCTGCAAGCTGTCATGGCTAAAATGCATTAATCTTCCCCTGCCAACGTCCTGTGATGAGTGATTTTAATTTTGCTGGCTCTCGGATTACACTGAGCTGCAACTGTGGTGAAAAACATCCCTTGGATGGGGAATTTTGATTTTCCCTTCTAGGATCAAAGCATAATACAGATCTCCAAGGGATCCTACTCCTTCATGACGTGCTCTGTTTGTGTGAAGCCATGCATGCAAAGCCATATCTTCCACCAGGAAGGCATGAGATAGTGTTGGGTTTGAGTGTGAGTGTCTATCAGCATGGTCCTGCAGACGCACTCATGGGCATTGTATTGCATCCCATGCAGGCACAAATGCATACATATACATTATTCCTGTATTATGGCCATGTACCCAAGCAGGGAGCAATTTACCCTTCTCCACCTTTGGCTCATGTACCCACTTCTTTTGTTCAGAAAATCCCTCTCCCTGGGTTTCTTCAGCTTTGCAGCCTTTAGAGGTCACTCCTAGCCAGATTTCCATCATTATCCTGCAGTCTCACAAGGTGGAAATATCCTGTAAGAATTGATTTTACTGTCAGCAGTAGCACTTGCGGGGTGTCCCAGTAGCTAATATGACCAACTGTACCTGATGTTGGCTTTTTCTGAGCGCGTTCCTCCCTGGGGTCTTTCTCTCCCACCACGACGATGTGTTTTCAAGACATTGAGAGGAAGGCTCAAAGTGTGTGTGTTGGGGGGGGAGGGGGGTGTGCTGGCAGATGTACTCCATGCAGCATGGTTCTGGGTCTGTTATAAGTCTGTATACTTCAAGAACATGCAGCATTGCCCAGATCAGCATTACTGGAGCTGCCAGGGATTCTGCAGATGTGCTGCCATATGTGCTATACCTCTCTAGGACGTATAGCAGTCCCCATTCACAAAACACCATCAAATCATAGGTTATCCTGAGTTGGAAGGGGCTCATAAGGATAATCATGTCCAGCTCCTGAATAGTGCACATTTCCATTAACTTGGGCTGGAAAGCCCCCACATAACCTTCATAACGAGGTGGTCAGGGGACTGGTGATGGGTTGATGATTTGTCTAGATGATCTTAGTGGTCTTTTCCAACCTTAATAATTCTATGATTCTATGAAAACCATGTTCTACTATCCCAAGGAGTAAAGCTGGAAGCTCTGGGTGGGACCATTTCAACATGTGCTGTCAACCTCCACCCAGCATCACCATCAGCAGCATTACTCATGCCTGCATGTTACCTTTCCCCTCTGAATTATCTCCCTTGCAGAAGCAGCTCCATCATCCAAAGGTGTCAGGGAACATTCCCCCTACTGTCCGTGTTCATTGCAGGGAGTTCTACTAGATTATATTTAATGGTCTATTACAACTAAAATCATTCTATGGTTCTATGATAATGGTGAGATACAGAAAACCAGAATCCCTCTCCTCCAGATCACAAACCTTTAGCCCCAGAAATGCCAGTGGGCAAAGGGGGAAAGACTTATCTTTGGTGAAAGGATGAGGACGCAAAGCCAGCGCTTGTCTCGAGAAGTCTATTGATTTGATTTCCTGGACAAGCCAAAAAGCCCAATAAAGGGAATTGTTCAATAATGAAAAATAGACAATTGGACTCTATTAAAAGACTGAGCCAGCAGCCAGTCTGAGTGCATCAAGGGACTTGGCTCAGGGCTTCTGCTCATAGAGGGTCCACGGAGCAAAGGATGGCCAGGAGAACTGGTGCTGGTATCAGTTTGCCAAGGACATTATGGGGTGTATTCTGTGTATAGGGAAGAGAAGGGTCTTGTGGGATGTCCCAGGGGAGCCTTGACGCCCTTTTGCTGTGATATGGGTTGGTGCAACAGCACAGCTTGCTCTTAACCTATAGATGTTGTGGGTGGATGGATCAAGCGCTCAGGCCACTCTTTTGAGCCTGTGGCTGTGCTGTGCTGCTCCTCACTTGCAGCCCACCTGTCCCTTCAGGCTGAAACCCTAGCCTAGTGCTGGGACCTCCGGCTGTGCCAGTATGGAGTCTGATCTATTTTATCACCCCCTCCCAGCATGAGAAGCTACCTGCTGGAGCCTCACAAGCCCTGCTGCCAGCTCTCCAACCCAGCACTGTAAGTGGATCCCTGCAGCTCATGGCTTGTTATGTTTTCCAGCACAGTCTGTGCCGGTTAGCATGCACCTTCAGGAATTTGGAGATGCTCCCTGCAGCAGGGAGGCCCCTGGGTAAGGGATAGCATCTTTTCTCCATGACGTAAAGCCTTCACTGAGCCAAATAGCTCAACATCCAAATAACTTCTTGCATCCCTACTGTAAGCATCACCTGTATTCTTCCCCACTGGGAACCTTCAGAGGATGCACCAATTAAAGATGAGTGTGCAGGATGATGGGGCTTGTCCAAGCACTTCATGTTTGGGGCGCTGCAGCCATGCACTCCACACACTCTCCTGTTGCAAGAGCTGGGAGTAATCCTGGGGGAAGCCTGTGGGTGGGGGCTGAGTACTGTGTCTTCCCAGCGGGAGGTGGTGATGCATCGGGTGTCAGCTCTGGGTGCCAGCCAGGGTGTCTTCTAACAGAGACTGGTGACCTGGCATGGCTCTCAGCATGAGGAAACCAAGTGGACCCCGTGTCAGCTGCCCTGAAGGAACTGGGGAGGGGGGAACTGAACGGGGGATATTTGAGAGGCAGGCATGGCTTGCACCCAGCTCCCTGTTGTGTGGGGCTGCCCCTGGGGGGGAATGCTTGGCCGAGATGTACCTGCCAACCAGGCCGGAAAGGATGTACATCTCCCCACCCCATTCTTGGGAAACAGCCAAGAAGGATTTTGCTTGGAGTGGATGCATGGACAGACAGGTTCTGGAGCACAGCCTGGTGCAGCTTTCCCCCCTTAGGTTGGCTATGTATCAGGGTCAGATCATGGGCCTTCCTGCAAACAT